ATTATACCTGCGGACTAATTGCGTCCTTATTGCGTCCTTATTGCGTTCTTATTGCGTTCAGGAAATAATAATTACGAATGCAAAGGTAACGTGGCTGATTGCTCGAAATATTCGCGTAGACCTGCGAATAAATGAATGTCAAGTATCGGCTCTTTCAATAAGCTTCACGAAACCCGTTTGCATATCAGTAGTTTTACAGTTAATTAAAAGCCAGCCGAGTTAAAATTGATAACATAGCCATCGGCGCGTGGATAATAGTCAGATATGCAGCGAGAATAATCGCTATAGAAAGCAGAAAAGGTGGTTAGGATGTTAAGATCTAAGCACAAGTACCGTAATAGAGTCCCAAGGTGTAAGCCGTAAAGCTGCTTGGGAGTGCTGCGCTTGCCAAGGGAGCATAAGCGCGGCTAAAAAGTAAAACTGCCTCTTATCGTGCGAGTACCCAATTGAATCCTACGGAGCGGCTTGCGCGCGTGCTCGCGCGCCCTTTTTTTTCTCAGCCGCGCGCCGCGCGCCAGTTTGAATTTACATCGCCGGGCAATTATCTGGGATTTTTCTTTCGGCGCGAGTGCAACGCTGCCCGTTGCCGACCGCGCACTCGGCGTACCGGTCACGCGAATCAGTCGCGCGAGCGACGAGAAGAAAGGAGGCGAGCGCGCAATTAACGCCACGGCCTCCTCGCGCGCGAAAATCTCGCGGCACGTCACCTTCGTGAAGTCGCGCTAGCTCTAATGGGCGGAAGCGCGAGGAGGTGTGCTCCTGATCGGCGCCGGCTAAATACTGCTACTTCTCGGAACCTCGCCACCCATCGACGTTTATGGTCGCGAGGTGTTAGAGCCGCGCCGCGTGGATCACCAAAATCGTTCAAGGAAAACGGCCTTGTACGTCAGCAGGCGACTGCAGCCGCGACTCTGCTAGATGAGTACAGCATCGCTGATAAACCTGCAATGCGTTTCGTTGGGAGATAACAAATAAAAGTGTCTTTACACAATAGCTGTGTGCATCGCGATTTGCATTCGTTCGTTCGAGATATCCCCAGATTTTCCAATAGGAAAGCCTAACAAAATTGAATTTCATTGGTCTCGTATGCACGCATACTGTGCACTTCGTCACGATATTATTCATCAAATCGGCAATCAAAACATCAAACATCAAATTATTCTCGATACTGGCAAAAATAGACAGGACCGTAATTTTAATGAAAAGCCGTAAGTATATACTTATTAATTGAATTGTTAATAAGTTAATTTTTAGTCCATCCGATAGGCAAGTCTGAATAATTATACATCATGTTGCACGCAGCTTACGCAACTTACTGCAGCTGTCGCAATCTCTGGTTTGTTTCTACCATAGAAATGACTATGTATCATACGGAGCGCATTAGCGGCTTTCTCCTTACCAATGTCAAAGAACCAAAAGTAATAGCGCGATTTTTGTGCTTGGCGTAGAAATTTTAAAATTAAAAAACAGAGTTTAACATTATATGTGAAATTTGTAAATGTAATTTAATTCCAGTTTACATAGCGATTATATCTGGTTTATGGCAATACATTAATATTACTTGAGCAAGGAAAATCTACTTACCATATGAAAAATTCTAGTTGACGACATTTGTCAGCAATCAACGGATTTTAAAAGATAATTAATAGACGCCAGATACGTCGACGAACGCCACGTTGCTTCACGGTATACCCGCGCGCGGGCGCCGAGATTGAGATGTTCCAAAGTGTAAATGCAGACGATGACGAGTAATCGCGCGTACTCGAGCATTCATTATTGCATCGGGGAAACGAGTTTTCGTCGCGTCGTCTTACATTTGAATTGCATTCGGATGTCGTTGCCGCATTTGATCATATTCATCATACTCGGACCTTTCAATTAACTCTTTTTTTTTCACTTTCGCGAGGTACTAGATTGATCGTCATTTAGACTTTTGTGAACTGTCCTCGATTAATCTTCGAAGCTTGTAATTACAATAGCGTATATTGTAATGTAATGATAAATTGTTATTTTCCCTTATGACGATCAATCATAAAAGATGCGTGCTCGGTGCATAATTGCAGTCATCTTAACGTTGAGAAATAAAAGTATTACTCGTAGAATTTTAACTATGACGTTTGAATTGCAGCAAAATCGATTTGACAAACTGTGGGTATTATCCATATTTTATTTCCGACGAATGAGACGCCTGCTCTAAAATTCGTTCCAATTTCGAAAGATGCAGAGGCGTATTATTTAAAAATTTCGTATTAATTTGAGGCAGGGAACGCGCACGGCAAAGTATCGCGCATGCCGACCAAGAAAGAAGAGGGGACGAGAAGAAAAATTGGCTCATAACTTTGGCGCGGAAGTAATTGTTTTTTTGTCTCTCTCTCTCTCTCTCTCTCTCTCTCCCGCCGTGGCGAACGTCACGAGGCGTTGTAATTTGCGAGCGTGGGATCGGCAGGATCGCGTTCGCGCGTGCGTTTGAGTTTTATCGAAGAGCCAATGGCACGGCGACAAGTGGGAAATCAGAAGGAGACAAGGAAAAGCGTGGTCGTCGAGAGAGAGAGAGAGAGAGAGAGAGAGCACATCCTCCCACGCGAAAGATGGCTTTGGCCCGCAGCCAACGATGCTCGGCATTGGCGCGCTCTGACGAGCAATGACCCTGATCTTGAACTCGCGGCGGCGCCGCGCCGAAGAAGCCTCCCGGGAGAGAGGGAAGCTTATTACGCAACGAGCCGCGCGCCAGGCGCGCACGCGGTGGCTTTCACCGCCGAGTGCGAATCTTATTTGACGCCGTAACAGGCGGAGAACGCTAAGTATCTTTGTTAAGCGCATGCAAATGGCCTGTAGCTATTTTTAAAACCTTTCTTCGGCCGATCCTTTATTTTTAGCGAACGCCCGTTAGCGCAAATATTTCGTCTACGTCGCGCTCCAGTTGAATACATTAACGTATTCAACGGCGAATGTTTGCTCGGCGCTGCTTCGTCGACCGCTCGTTCGATCTTCGGCGGCCAAAGGCGAAACAGCGAGACTTGGACTCGGCATCGAATCCACGGAATGCGCGCAGTCGCAGCGTCTACGAGTACAAGAGCAAACGCATCGCCGCAAGGGTTAGGTCCAAGTTGTGCGAAGGACGAGATGGGGAGAAGCCCGCGACGAGAAGCCCGTAGGGAAGGAAGGACACAGCTGCCGAAGGGAGAGAAGACACCGTTGCAGACTTGCAATCGCTATTCTCGGAATTGGACCCTCTCTCGCGGTGTCGCGCAGCGATTGGATCTTTCGGGGGCAACTTTCGCAACTGCAGTCGTGCGCGGTCCAACTTGCGGCATCGGGCGCAAGTTCGCGGCTGCCATTCGCCCAACCTTATGCTCCGCGGCAAAGTACTTCGTCGACTGTTTGCCGTGCGTTCTCTTCCTTCGTGTCGCCCGCGGATTATGCAGCCACGCATACGATGCACGGTCCTTCCGAAAAAAGACGCGATCGCGATTTACGTTGTAAATGTCGCGCGACAGCCTCCTAAGAAGATTACCATTAATTTATCGACGTACCCCCATCGAGATGACACGGCCGCGATTAAGTTTGGTCGGTAAGCTGTAAACGGATCCGTTGTAGAACACTGGACTTAAAATGATAATGTGCTCGAGCGGCGCGCTGTTGTACATCAGCAGCTTAGCCCAAGATGCAAAAGAATACGCGCGCGCCAGTGTAAAGTGTAGCTTCGACAAGAGCCTCCCGTGCTCGCGTGCGTAGCTTTGGCGAAATAAGAAAAGAAAAAACACCAACGAAGATAGAAAACGATCGTTCGTGAAGTGCTTGCAGAGAAAATATAACGGTGGTCGCGGGATTTTCGTTTGTTTTTTTGCTTCATTTTTGTTTTGCGAACAGCTGAATATTATCATACAGTTATAACTCAAGGTGCCGCCTTATTCGCGAAATTCAGCCTGTACGCTTGAGTTTGGCTATGCATCATTCGCCAAACAGATGTACTCGCGACGAGTGTACGTTAGCTTTTCAAAATTGCTTAATCTATTCATTAAGGTGGAGACGGCAATGCGATATACGCGCCGTTAGTAATGCGAGAATCGAAAATTAATCGCACAACTTTGAGCAGGATTATAAATATTTAACGCGGGTTATTTATCGAGGGACGACGCGCTTTAAAAAGCGGCAAGATTCATGCACGCGCATACACGAAATTCGAAAGCCAGGAGTTTTGCCGCGCGCCGCGTAATAAGCGGCCGAGCGTCTTTTCTGCGCGCTGCGCGCACCCGAGCGATTATTCGGAAGGCGCGAAACAGGTTTCCAGCGGCTGGGAATCGAAATCGCAGAGTCTTTTTGCGCGGCAGTGGCTAGCAGCGTGTATGTATAACGACGTCGAAGAGGTTTTCCCGAGACGAGTCTCTCACTCTCTTTCTCTCAGCTGGCTGCATAACGGTCCTCGCGAGAGAGAGAGAGAGAGAGAGAGAGAGAGAGAGAGTTTCGGAAAAAAGTTGAACCACCACCACCGCCGCCACCGCTGTCGCCGCCGCCGCCGCTACCTCCCCCTCCTGCCCCCGACCTGTGCTGCACCTTGCCTCTCACGCGTGTGCGGCTACTTGACTACTCTGCACATATATAGAAGAGATCCGCTCGCGAAGCCAATCGAAGAGCGTGTGTGTGAGCGCACGCACGCATAGAGAGGATGCAGCAGCGTATAACGGGGTCGTGTCAACGGGTTCGAGCCTCGCCGCGCGAAGTATATACCTGGCACTCTATGCATGCACGCCTTCATATCTTCTTGGCCGATCCTTTGCACGCTCTAAGTAGGCCGATCAGCTTCCTGCTCACTCTCTCTCTCTCCCTCTCTCTTCGATTTCCTTGCGCCAAACACAGGCTATACAATGCTAAAACACCCTTGGTACCGAGATGCACTGCTCGTTCACTCTGCTTACTATTCCTTCGATTTGCTCCTTATTCGTAAATATAGGTTTAATCAAGGTTTCAAATCAATGACAAGCCATCGTTTACGTCAACTTTTGTTTATTGAATACAATAATCAAAGTGGTAACACTATGCTGGTGATACTTTTTTTCTATTTTTCACGTAGTAAATTTATCGCATTAGTCTAATTATTAATTTTTTTTCCTCTCCAATGATCCATTTTTACAAGGTAAAAATGTAGACGAACGACCTTAAGTTAATAAAGTGTTTTCTGTTTTTCTCTTAATACGAATATATGCATTTATTCATTCATATGTGTATAAGTATTGATTTATTGATTTACAAATATTGCAAAAGTATCTCAATTAGAGTGAGTGAAAAAAAAGAAACCATTATGGAAGGTAGCTTATATTCTCGCGTGTCCGGTGAATCTTTGCCGATGTTTTTATTTTATAGTGCCTACGGTGTTATTTTAATTCCTCGCCTATGTGTACGCAGCTACAATGCAGCGCTCATAGTGAATCATTGCAGATTATTCATCTAATCGAAATTGGCCTCCGAAAGAGTACTTCGCTATTTAGCAATATTCAGCCGATGGAGAAAACGATTCTTGTATACGTCTCAAGGCTGATCATTATATTGTTTCTACAATCTACAGGTATTCTTGCTAATCGTCTAATCTTTTTTTTATACTAACTGATATTAAAGAAAGGGCCCAAATCAGTTCGTTTCATCATTGAAAGGCCTATAAAAAGATAATTAACTCATCCTCAAGTTATCGTAAGATGTACGAGATAATCATTACAACTACAAGCATTTTAGAAATAAATAAGAGAATTTGTTGTTTCATTTATTTTCCATCGTAATTTTCAGAAACTTGATCTTATTGTTGCTCTTGGCATGTGCGCACATATTTCTTACTCGAGAAAATATATGCGGACAATTTAAGTAACAAACATTGAAGTAAATTACTGATTTTGTCGTTAACGTCAGTTTTTATGTTTTCAATAAATATTAATTACAATCTGACAGGCCACATTGTCGATCTCTTCATTATCTTAACGTTTCGCTATGAAACTGTAGCCTCTCCAAGAAACTTTGCTGAAGAGCCTACCAGTTTGATAGCGAAACTTTGGGCAAATAAAGAGATTAATAATATTCAATCGTAGTTATTATTTATTGAGAAAGTTGTTTTGTTTTTATTCTTGAAATATCGAAACTCATGAATTCCTTATATTTCCTATATATCGCAATTTGTGTTGATGAATGAAATCGAAAATAGGAACCGTCAATCAAACCCTAACTTTGTCAAAATAGTAGCTATTTAATTTGTCTTGATATCAAATGAAATAGTCTTTCTTTTCTTCGTTCATTATCGAATTTCATAATTCACTTCGTTAACTAATCATAAATGATATTTTTCATTGAATGTTTACCGTAAAAAGAAATTATTATCTATTACCGTTACGTTTATAATTACTTACACTCAATTCTTTTCTTTTTTTCTATGCATAGATATACTGGCAGTTACAGGTTTAGACATGAAATTTCAATCGATACCAAATTATTAACTATGTACTTTTAACAACCACATTCAAAAAATTCTCTTTTACTTACAAGTTTTCTTTATCATTGAACGCTGATGAGAAAGAAGTAAAATTTTCATAAGTACTTTCAATTAAAAAATTAAAAAGAAATTAATTTTCATAAAAATGATTTGAACAATAAAAATAATTAATATAAATTTGGTCAATTAGCCTGCTTTTTTTTACTTTTACATTAGTTTTCTTAGAAAAGTGTTAAATTGACTTGGAAATGAACATTCCGTGTTTTGTTAATTAGAAAATGTATGTTACAGAACAAACATTGGCGGTCAAAAGTAAACGTAGATAATTATTATAAGTATTGTTTTTTATTACTATAAAATTCGAATAACGCAATTTTGATCACGTTTATATATGTACATGGTAATAAAATTCAATTAGACAGCATGTAAAAATGAGCAAAAAACAAATTTCCGGTGATAATTTGAAATGATGGTTATGAGAATGGACTGCAGTTTGTACTTTATAAGTTTTTTTTTCGAATGTGCACTTTAGAAAAGATACATCAACTAATTGGTAGTCTAATGTGTAATTGCACATTGCCTGTATAGTAGTTGTCAGTATTGGGAATGTGTTCCAAAAAGTATACACAAGTACACAATAACCAATATCATATGAATCTTAATCTAAGTTTGGTTCAGTAGATGTTTAGTCCTATTACGGTTATCCTAAGCTAGAAGGCAGAACGTCAGTCCTGGCTTTTTCTTTTTGTTAATGCCTCTTTCAACCTTATTTTAGTTCATCTTATTTTAGCGTAACCGTAAGCAAAATAAACTGAATAGTCTGTGGCAAGTTTATATAGGACATAAGTATGTAGAAAAAGTTTATATTTCTAGATTTTTTCTTCTTTGTTTTGTGCGTCATATCGTAACAACACGTATGAAAATAACGGTTATTATACGAATTTATTTTTCACGATTTTTATGAAACTAATCTATCATATGTTTATTAATAGTATAGCGTTCAAAGAGCTCTGAATAATTTGAAGAGGGTTCAAAGTATTGTGATATCTACAATTGACCACATTATCATATAATGTATAATTACGATCGAGATACAGAAAGAATAAAAATCCTATTTATCGAATTATCATAATACTGAATTCATATTGTTTCCATCATTAGCAGTTATCAGAATATATCGTAATTAATAGAAAGTTTTGCAGATTATAAAACGTTGTTGTCAATAGTGATAGTTTGAAAGTGTTGAAAGTAATTTTTAATCGAATAAGCTTATTTTACAGCGTATTTCAATGATTGGATGAAACGCTAAGCCGATCAATATTATGATTTCAAGTTAATTGCTCGTAAAATAAAATCAAGACTCACTCGTTTGCAATGGATACTCATACGTGTACGCAAAGAAAATTACAAAGGTGAAAAATATTTGACGAACTCTTAAGGAGATAATATACAGTCTGATCAGTTATGTAACATTAAGAATAAAGTTTTTTTTCAATGTTTTACTTTTATATTTTTTCACTATATAATATAACAATTATTTATTACACGGTTCTATCACACATTTCAATCTACTATTCAGCATAATTTGTTTATTTACTTGTTGTTGTGAATCGCTGCTTACAATAATTATAGTAAATAATCTAAACTACTTAAAAAATCAATAGGACAGTTAAGTAAGTTGTATCGTTATTAATCAAAGTCAAAAAAATTCAAGTAAATCTTATGAAATCTGAAAAGCAAATAAGCTCGTACTAATGCATCATGATTCTCAAGTAAGCAATTTTTAAAGCTCTCTTACAAAACTATAATTCATTGGATAATCGCTTAGTAACAATTCTCTCAATAAAATTGTTAATTCAAACAGCATTATAATAATACTTTTAATATTCGTATCCATGTGTTTGTTTTTTTTTCTTTTTCGTAAAAATATATATGTATATATATAAGATTAAAAATTAAAGTTTACTTCAAATCGTAAAGCTAAATAATTGAGATACTACAAAGAAGTTACTGGTGTATCATAGAAAATAAGGATTCCTACAAACAATCGATCGAGAATATAGAAGTGTATTATCAAATGAAAGGCCATTGCGCGAAATGAATCCTAAAAAAGTCGGAGTAAAAGTCAACAGGCTCCAAATGAATGATTATAATATACTTAGGCAGTAGGTGAGACGACAAAAAAATCTCCTCTCAAATCGCTCGATTATCACCTTATTCTCTATGCAGAACAATCAACAAATTGACGACAAAAGTAACGTCGCTTATCATCGATAGTAATGGATCAGTGGCGAATGTACAGGTTGCTAAAAAAAAAGATCATCGACGAAGAAGAATAATCAAAGTGTGATATAATAAATAAATTGTTAAAAAAGTGAACGAGAGGGAGCTCTGTGGCGGATATTTCATGGTAGCAGTGTAGAAAAGAAAAGTCGAGTCGGCCTGTAATAGAGGCTTACCATCGCCCCGATGTCACTGCGGGACGAGGCTCGGTCGGTGAAGTAGTGCACGACAACGAAACTCAACGCGAGCATTTATTCAGCTGAGACCAGCCCACTGGATGAAGTCCGGCACTTCGCGCACTGGCATGTCGCGCGCCAATGCCTTCACCCTCAGGTTGCGGTCCTCCGTCAGCAGCACCACGTCTCGCTTTACCCGCCTCGGCTGGCCCTCCTCTGCAACACAATTCGCGCGTTTCTTTCATTGCGGCACAGCTCGCTTCCTCGCCCGCGACCACGATATAAACGCGTCTCGATCTCGTCGCGGTGAGCGAGCCTGCTATTAAAAGTCCAGTCTCTATATGTAGGCCGGCGTCATCTCACTTTGGCAGCGTGTAACGTGCCTACTCGACGTTTAACACAGAATGATTTCAACTTGAAACGTTCGTTACATAAACATGACCGTCGAGCACAGAGATGAGACTCGCTTGAGGTCAGATAAACTCACTGAGATACCGCTCGCTATTGACTTTCGTGTATACGAACACTGCTGAAAACTTATTATCTGCCGCGATACGAAAAAACTTCATGCATAGTTAGTCAGTCCTCCTTCCTCTCGGACTTACCGCTAACTTGATCCTTATTTGATTTGCATAGACTTAAGCACGTAGCAAGGATTCTGTCGTCGTTGCCCGTCAAAGCCTCCTGTAAAATCGTTAGAGAAAAGAAGACGAGAAGCAAGATCAATAATTGACGTCCGCGTGGATTTCGACGTGTACGTAACCACTGAAACAAGTCCTTTTTACCTCCGTCTCGTCCTCCTCGACGGTGAACGAGCTCGAGGCGAGCACCGTTCCCTTGGTTGTCAGGCACCTGATCGCCGGATTTCTGCTCCTGGCGAATGCCAAGCCGGCCTTGGCGTTCTCGGCCACTCGGGCCACGTGTCCAGGATTCAGTACTGCCTTCGACATTGGCCCGCAGTCCCGTGGATTGGCTCCCTTCGACAGACCCTCCAATTCGTTCAATACTGAAACAAACATCAGCCCAGCAATGACATTTGCAGCGCGATCCACGCGTTTCATCATGCAGAGCTTCAACGAGGAAAGCGTTTGTAAACTCATAATTGCGGCCGTTAAAATACGAGTGCAGTTCGCCCTCTAGGCGCAAGCGTTATGAACACGTTATCTCACTTGGTCGCGCCTGGTAAAATCTGTAATTTCACGCAGATAGTTATCATGTTGCAGCGCGACGCGAAGGGTTTTTTCGGCTGGGGGGATTGGCTGGTACGTTTGAATTTCGACGCCCTCCTTCGCCTCAAATTGCTCGTTTTCTTCCGTCGGAAGGAAGGAAAGAAGGAAGGGCACGGTAACCGCCCCCTCAGGGTAGGGGGGAGGAGCGCGAACTTTATATATATCTTCGATTTTTATCGTAAAAGAAGCCCTCGAGACCTTTCCACTGCTTATTTTACGAGCTTGGCAAATGTTATTTCACGGCGAGCGCAGCGGTTATATTTGAGGAGTTTTGCGAACCGACCCCGATTTAATTTCAACAGCCGCAGAGATAATGTTTCGAATTCAATTTCACGCTGCAAATTTTCGATGACCTATCGTTCGCGTAAGGCTGATTGGATTAAATGATCCAGCCTCGCTTTCGCAGCCATGCTTTCACAATGGAATTCACTTGGCGTGTACTGTTCCGGCGAAAGCACTCGGGGCTGTTCAAATGAAATCAAGGAAATAAAAATTTGAGCGCTTTCGGGGCAGCTAGGGAGGGGGGGGGGCAGTACGACTGGAAAAGAAAAGCGAAATGGACGAAGAAAAGAAACGGAAAGGAGATTGGGAGCGTAGAGATGGCTTTGCCGGGGACAAGACTCCCGAGGGACCTGCGAACCTATTCAAATAGTGCAAGGCAGTCCTGTGCTCCCCGGCGAGTTGTTCGCCGCCGCGTTGGCTTTGCAAAAACATCTAATTTTACGAGCGCTCGATTATGCGGCCGCTAGCTGCGATGAGGCGTCTTTGGCACGAGCAAAATGAAGCTAACCAAAGGAGCTGTCCGCTCGACAGAAGAAAACGTTACGTGTTTGCTCTGCTTCATTTTCATCCAAGTACAAAATTAATCGATTTCTATTCAGTAATTCAATCTATCGTTCGTAGATTTGCTTCAAAGCATGAGAAAAGGCGGCAGCGAAAACAGCCATCAACGCGATGAAGCATCGTGGAAAAAAAAACAAAGGTCGTATAGGAGAATGTATGTCGGGGCATCAAAATTAAATACAGCCTGCAGGACGGCGGCGGTCTCGTTGGCTGCGCGGCCAATCAAACAAACGAACGAGCCTCTAATCACGACTGGCTCGCGCAGATGAGGAACGAGAGAGGAGACGAAGATCAGAAAAAAGAGCGCCGCGAGCCGGCAATTAAAGCGGCTGGATTTATCCTCCGGCGCGCGTTCGAAAATGATTCTGCCGCGGTTGCCCAGTCCGCTGCCTCGCCCACACGTGTCCGCGTTCGCAGTCCTCGATCGAGAGAGAGAAAGAGAGAGAGAGAGAGAGAAAGAGAGAAGGAGGCCTGCCTGCGTCAGCCGGCCGTGAGAACCTAACTGTGAAGACTCACCGTTGTTCGCCAAGCTAGACGAGCGTAGAGTGGGGTCGGAGGTCACTCGCGACCGATTTTGCACGAATCGCGCTGCGGCGCGCTCCTAACGGCGACACTTTATTACGCGCGGCTCGCGCCGGCGCCGAATTGTCCTCGGCTCTCCGCCCGATCGTTACAGCTTGCGCGATTTCGGGCTCGAGATCAGCGTTCCTCGCTCGATCGACGAAACGGACCGGTCTGCGATGATCCTCGCTCGAGACTAGGTCGCGCCGCGCTCGGCCCTATTTCTACTTCGCTCGAATGCCTCCTTCGTCGTTCTAATGCTGCTGCGATCTTCGCTCTGACGCTGTGTGATTATTCAACGACGCTCGCCGCTTGCCTACGAATTTCTTTTCGGCATTCTAATCTAAATCTTAGTTTGATTTATCGACGGTTGTCAAATTACTAGAAACATGGCTATCGACTTAATTTAATGGCTACACATTCTTCATATAATCAAACATTTCACCGATTTCGATAATTGATTTTAGAGAGCACAAACTATAACTTTTTATGGACTTACGTCAAGTTTTGCAGTTGCGGAGAAAATAATACACTTGCCATCTAATGGTGCCATCCGAATGCACGATGGTACAACGGCAACAATACACACACAACACATAAACGTTTTGGCTTATTTTCTATGTGTTAATAGAAAAATACTTGAAAAATTGAAATTGAACGAATAAAATTGTAAGCAATAGCACTGAAGCATTTCTTAAGCATTGCATATTAACTTTACAGTAGTATAAATATTATGGATGTTTTATTTTCAACTTGACTTTTTTCAAAAGTATTAAAGATTCAACGAATTCACGCACACAACGGAGTCATTCATTCCTTTTTCCAACCATTCGGTTTATTGAATTCATTGTATTCTCCTTTCTCGCGTACACACCATCCGTTCGCCTTTATCTAGCGTTCACGCATGCCCGACACCGCCCGCCGAAGCAACCCATACAAATCTTGGGTGAAAGGGTCAGACGAAAGTCGCCGACCAGCGAAAGAGCGAGAGAGAGAGAGAAAATAACGACAATCGCAAAAGCCGAATGCGACGATGCACAAAAGAGTTGAACGAATCGATAATATATGCGCGCGCCACATTCTCCAGCGAAGCGTTAATGTTCGGCCAAAATGATTTTGAATATCCGCTGCTCGAGGCGCAACAGCATCGCAGCGCGGAGTCTGGCGTATCTCTCGCGTCGATTAAATTTTAATTTGCAGAATACATGTTTGCGAAATGCGTGCGTGGATTTTTTCTTTTATAGATTTTATAGATGCATTTTAAAATTGATTTGGACGAGTTGCGCTACACTCTAAGCTTTAACGCACATGGACAAGTATTCATTGAAAGGCTTTCTTTTCTTTTAGTCTGTCTCTTTCATTTGCCCCTTGGCGAATATCTAACAGCGCATCGACATTATTAATGAAAGAAACGCAAGCACGACACGTTAAAAAGAAACGGCAGAGGGAGAAAAGTTACTACGAGTTATTAATAGCAGGTATGAGCCACCTATCGCACGAAACGCACGACGCAACGAGGGAAAAATCGGTAGCGTCGAGCGAGCCGCGTCGGCTCGTGCGACTAGGCGCGCGGACGAACGAGCGTAGCGTCCGCGCCCGCGCGCGACAATTCGCGAGCGTGCGAGGCGCCGCGGAAATCGGCCGGCCGGCTCGGCGGCAGGCAAGGAGGATCGCCTTTGATGGGCACCGCCGAAACGGAGGAGCGCGACGGCGCAGCAGCGAGCGCCGGGACGTCCGTTAGCGCATGCCGCAGATTATACGCGGATATAATGGGGGGATAAAATTCCCGATCGGCGAATTCGCGACTACCGTTAGGCGCGTGTGCCGCTGCCGCTGCCGCTACGTCGCGCGCGACATAATTAGACGGCAATAATACGCCGTTACGGCGGCTCGGCGTAAAAGCACAGGCGAGCTTCCGTTTCCTCCGCCGGCTCCGCCGCGGTGCCCAAAAATCTCTCGGGCGTCGAACGCGAATTAATTGGGCTCCTGCGCGTGCTTTGTACTCGCCGAGCGGAGATACGATCGTCGACGGTCGTCGTCGTCGTCGTCGTCGTCGTCGTCGGCGTCGGTTCGCCGATTGTTCCGCGACTCGTTTCTTTCCCACATTTCTTCCTCTGCGTTTCCGCGCACGCCTCGCTACACGTTATTTTTCTCATAGCAGAAATTTGTGTAATACGCTCGGATTCAGGGAGAGCCTCTCTCGGCGAATTAATGCGCCGCGGTCATTGTTCTCTTGTCGCGCGAGCGCGCGGCTGCGTAACTGTTGTTCGACACACGCGCACGCGCACGCACGCCCGCGCGCGTCTCTATCGTGATTTTTTTTTTCAAATTGGCCGAATCTCGAGCTAATTCACGGCTTGGCGAACGGCAGGATGAGCGTGGAACAACCGTTGGCTGCAGATTGTAGGCTGCCTTTTTTCTTCTTCCTCCACGCGCGTTTCTGCCTTTCGGCGGTCCCGCGCCGGCGCAGGGGATTCTCCCCGATGCTATCGGAGAATATTCCCAATCGAATGAAACGTCGGCCGCCGGCCGAAACGACATTTCGTATGCATTAGCCTGCCTCGGCGAAGATTTCCACTCTACTCCATTTTCCTTGCTGGCTCTGTTCGAGCGGAGAATACGGATCGCGTCCTCGCGGACAAATAAATCAGCGGCCGCGAAGCGCTCATCGACGTAAACGGATGCTCGAATATAATTGTGGAGTCGCGGCGCTAAAACAGCGATTCGAGGGACAATCGCCGCCGCGGCCGCTATCACCGATGAATATCTGGCTGCTCTCGGGCAACAAAGGACAATCGAGTAAAGGGACGCCGCGTCAGACGAGGAAACGTTCGAGCATTTATCGTCGGCTGATTTGTCCTTCCCGCGGAGGAGGCGCGCGTGAGCAACGAGAGCTCGGAGCGCTGGCCAATAAATACGCAAGCGCGGCGAGGATTCCAGGGGCCCAGGTGCGCCGCCGCCACGGCGATCACGCGGCATTGTTCGGCCGCGCGAGGTCAGCGCCGATATCGCCTTCCGGCAGCGAGCAGGTTGCACAATGAGTTTGTTTCGCCGGGCACCGCGACAGATATATCGAGGGGCGTAAGTCGTCGCCGATTGATGGAGACCTCTCGCCGCGGGACAACCCGCGGGGACAACGTCGCCGGTGCTTTCACTTCCGACTACTCGCGCGGCAGCTCTTTCAATGGGGGCTCTGCCGCATTCAGCCAGCGTCGTGTTCCACTTGATTCGATGAGAAATGGCATTGCTAAACGCACTCACCGCGGACAGACATACGAGACAATTGCGATGGAACTCACCAACTAGCGGCACCATCAGCGTGTAGATTGGCTGGGCTCCGGCGGTCGCCTTGGCGATGCTCTGCAGCTGCGCCAAGTAGTCGATGAAGCAGTTGGTATCCGGTACCAAGTGCTTCGGCCTCACCTCAATCTCCACTGACAACGACGACTTCTGCAGGATGGCCTGGAACAGCGAAGCAACGGGATGCTCGGTGAGACGCGATTTTGCTTTTTTAGGATGCGAGCGACTTTTCGGGGCCCTTTTAGCGCCGCCCCGCTCGGTTTTCCATCGCAACGACGCCGAGCCGAGCAATCGGACCTTCGACACCTGTGCGCGCTCATCGTCCGCCAACGGACGAGCGCAGGTCCGCGCGCGCGGGCGACGCCAGATGCGACTACCTACGTATTGGCCGACTTCCAGATTACCACTATAACTGACCCCGAAACATATTCGTTGCATTTTCAATCTGGTTCAGTTCCGTCGTAATCACGCCAGCCCTCATTCGTAGGCTTTTCCTCTGCCAAAACTCCTCATCTGTTCTAAATTACACATTTCAACACAGAGAGAAATGATCTTATAAAACTTATTACAATTCTGACAAAAACTACTATATAACGTAGTAAGTTAGGGGCATGCTTGTTTTTTAGGAATAATATTTCATCATGATCAATTTTCCTATGCTACATATCAATTTTTACTTAAACTTATGGTAAATATTTCTATGTATTACTTTTTACTATGTTTCTATTAAAAATAAATTTTACATCTAAGAAGCCGAAAATATTTTTTTCTGACCGACCCTACTTTATTTACTTTATACCGACATTACTTTCTCTTAAAACACATATTCCTTTTATTTTTAGATACTTTATTTTCTTAAGCTATCATAATTTTCGCTTGATTAACAACAGCTAAAGAACAATTTCGCTCGCGTACTTTCGCTTACAATGAAACTTTTCATGCAAGAAATTTCTCTTATATACTAAATGTCCATAGTTTATGCCGCTTGCAAAATACCGGCAAACTATTTCAATTCAATTTGACACTATCTGTGTTGAAAAGAGTGAACTTACGACAACGTTGGAATTGGCGACCAGTAACTTTTCCTACGTGATGTAGTAAAATTTAATTAAAAGTATAAGACAAATTCTTCAAGCTTAATAATTTTTACTGTAGGAATAACAATTTTTATTTTATCACATTACCATTTTTACTATTACTCAAATTTACTATGAAAAATAGCAATTTTTATTATAGCGGTATAATATTTTTTCAAAGACGTAACAATAAATATTAGAGTTATAGTAATGAATCTTATAATTGTAACAATTAACTAATTTACTTAACTAAGTTTTGTAGTAGTTTTTGTCACAATTGTAGTAAATTTTATAAGGTCATTTTTCTCAGTAAATGTGCTTCGACCAGTTAGTTTCGCGATATTCGGATCGAATATTATTTAAATGGTCAACGTATTCGACGCAGGAATTGACATTTATGACGCAAAATAAACAATCGCCTTATTCTCAGAACACGTTGTTGCCATTACACAATCTTCTAATGTATTCATTACACGTTCTATCGAAAAAACATAAAAATTTAGCTGCAAAAAGAAATAAAGACGCGTGGCAAAAGAATCGCCCTCTAGCAGTTCACATTGAATAACATCACTGTCGTATGTCATCGACGTTGCTTGGAAATTGAAAGTGCATGTATATTTAACGTATATTTCACTGAAGTAAAATAAAAAAGCTCTGATCGATTCGAGATTGCTTTAAAAGAGAACGTCGCTACGGATCCTAAAACAAGCCACATATCACGCGAATTAATGAAAGAGAGAAGAAAAAAAAATGGATAACGAACGACGTGCGCGGCACGCTGGGCATCGGAAATTGGAAGCGAATCGAATGGAAAGCGCGCCGATGAAAATAAAAAAAGGCCGGAGCGAAGCGAGAAATAAAAGTGCGCGCAGTATTTGCAAGCTCTTTGCCGTCTACCGGAAAAGCATTCCTAGACGCGCTTACTTACGAGGTACGCGCAGGGGGTTTTCGCTCGAGTAGGGAGGCCGTAAGTTTTGCCTCCGTGGTCTTTGGCGTCGGCGTCGTGAGAACTCAGCTGAGATCACGAGCGCGAGCTGCTTGGGACTCCCGGCTCCCCTGTGCATATTAAGAGCTCCCCTCCCCCCGCCGCTTTCCTCTCTCTCTCTCTCTCTCTCTCTCTCGATATACCCAGCCGTGTGTGTGCACCGCGCCATACGCCAACATTGTAAATGCGCGACGTTCAAGCGCGCGTTCGCGGTATCGGGGACGATACGTCCCAGACACATCCTATACAGCTCTGCCGATATATCAATGAAAGCCATTTAGCGCTTTGCGCACACCTCTTTACGACCTTCTTTTTCTTTTTTTTTTCCTTTCCCTCTGGCGCGCTATTTTTAGAGTGCCGGGGCGCCAATTCACAGCACGAGTATTGACTGAACAAATTCGTTGGCTTTCAAATGCCACTGCATCACCTTATGCATTTTTTGACATAATTTATCGTGATGCAGATGGAGGTGGGATAGCTCTCGATGAAACGGAATCATGTCAAAAACGAAATGTCAACGACGTCAGAAACAAAAAACTCGTGGAATAAATTTCTTAAGACAGGACAGAAAATATGGGAGGAAAAGCACAAAGATAAGAATGCGAGGATTCGGCATCCTCGCGAGTCGGTGATTACAACAGCAATTCAAGGTTTCGCCAAGTAAAATCGCGGTCAAGTCCAAGCGCGTACGGTCGGCTTTGCACTAATTTTCTTTCTTGATTCTGTGGGTTTGCGCGGTCGTCAAATTAACGAGAAAGCCAAAAACCTCGACGGGCTACGATCGGAAGGTACAACCGTGAAGAGCCTCGAAACCGAACGAGCGCGCACAAAGACTCGGTGTCGTTCTTCGCGCGCAGCGCAAACTAACAGGATAACTTTAGACCATAGCTTTTCGAGTATATATAATCGCATTCATAAAGGTGGTGGTGTAATGGGCCTCGCAAATCAGATTGGGAGGCGCCTCGAGGGTTCCCTCGTAAAAAGCCAGCCCAAGACGACAGAGTGGCGCGCGGCGTTATGGCAATTGCCACGGGGCGCTGATTTAAGCTCGGAGCCCGGCGACGACGTAAATTTTCGACTCGCGCGAGAGGTCAGGAGGTTGCGGCGGCGCGCGGCCGTGCCGTTGTCTTTAGGCCCGAGCGGCAGTTTTACTGTCCGCTGATGATCCTACGAGGGTAATGATTTGCCTAAGATATTGTGCACTTCGCTCGGTGGATTCATTGCTCGCCGCATCACCGAGCCAAGCCTTTTCGCCGGACGCTACTCGCGCGCCCGTCTGCCTACGCACGCGGCTTGTATTTCAGAGCGCTGCGCGACGACGCGCTTAAAATCACCTGCCTGACTTTTACGCTTTCCAACGTGCTTTTCCGCATTCTGACCTCGGGACCACCCCCCCCCCCGCTCTTCCCGCCATTAGCCCACCGCGTTCCCAATTTCTATAAATACTTTGCCACGTGTCTGAGAGCATCGTTTTTTGCGCACGCGCTTCATCTCAACACCGACGAGTGTCACTTGGAAGTTAACAGTCGGCGTGAAACGAGCGAATGGTCTGGCCCATCGGTATAGGTACAGAGCTTGACTTGTCTCTATTGTTTAATTGTTTCTCTCTATTAGCTGAGTAATCGACAAAGCAAAGAGGAGGCTGGTGCGCGTACAGTTTGAGCCTCGCGTGATCGTCGACTGCCGCGTTATTACATTGGCTATACGCACACCTCCTCCAGGGAGGAAAAGGAAGAGTCGAGTGGCGAGAGACGCAGAGGAAACGTGCGACAATGTCAATGTTTGCTGCTCGTTGGTGCTCTCTCTCTCTCTCTCTCTCTCTCTCGCTTCAAGATCCTACGTACACGTGTGTGCGTACGCGTGCAGCAAGATATCCATGTCGAGAGCCCACTGGACCAGTCATTCACTCCGAGAGAGAGAGGCCACGACTACCCCAAGAGCTATTCACTGTCTCATCAATTTCTGCAACCTTTCGCGTCACTCCCTTCCGAGAGAAGAAGAGAAAGAGAAAAAGAGATAGAAAGAGAGGGCGCGCGTGTGTGTGTGTGTGTGTGTGTTTGAGAGCGAGAGAGAGAGAGAGAGCAAGCAGGAAGACTATGCTCTACCTGCTCGTTGCATCTTTTCCAGTACTTTTCGATCGTTCGCCCCATCTCTTTCGACATTTGCGATGCTTACACTCTTCGTTTTGTCAGTATGTTATTTTGTGCTGTGTTACTCTGTTAAAAAGATATATCACGCCGTTACAAGGAAATAACGTTATCGAAAAAAGAAAGCAGCCGTAATAAATCTAATTTCGCAAAGTAAAAGCGAGCGCGCTCGCGCTGGTAATTCCACTTTCCGCTGCGAGTCCGCAGCGCTCGTGCGGAAATGAATTTCGTCAGGCCGTTGGAGCTTGATATAAGAGTTACATAAAGCGAAACAGCGCGGTGAAGAAAAAGGAAAAAAAAACGAAAAGAATAAAAAGAATAACAGGGCTGTGAAAGGTATTAAAGCTCTTTCATGGGGTACAGGCGGGTGGGCCGCGAGGGGGGGGGGGGGGGTGCGCGGCAGACGAGGCGAATTGAATCGAGATGAAAAAAAGCGTCGTCGGCTGCTCTCCAGCTTTCTCTCTAGTCTGGCAAAAGTGTCCAAAGCAGGCGAGCTCTCGCGAAGGGCGCTGTGCGGCGCGCAATTTAGGCGGTGACGCGGCAAGATCTCTCTCTCTCTCTCTCTCTCTCTCTTACTCGAGGGCCCTCTTATTGTGTACGTGTTTCGCGCAACTGACGCGGTCATTCTGCACCCCTCTCTCTTTATCTCGAGCTCTCTGGCTTTTGCCAAAGTGTGAAAGCAGCCACTCGACAACGCAACGCGCGTCGTGCCTTCGAGAGTTAAAAGTCAACATCGATGGCGCGACACACACACGTACGCGCGCGCCCGCCCGCATGGTCTGTAAAAGTAAAACATCCAACGCTCTCTCTCTCTCTCTCTGCCTTTGCTTCTTTTCTTTGTGTATTCTACGTGTCGAACACACTTTTTTCCTCCCTCGCGTGTTCCTGCTGCCATCGCAGATTGAAAATCCTCTAATCCCGGGACTATGCGCCCTTGTCCGCGCTTTGTCGGAA